CCCCCCCCCAAATCCGGTACCAAAGAAAGGTGTGAGGACTAAGGAAATCCCAGGGATATCGGAGGGATGGAAGAATATTGGACTCGAGGAATCAATAGTTCCGTCAGTACTATCCATTGTTCACAATCCAAAATACACCAAAACACAAAATATAACAACAACAACGCTCAAAGTTCGAGGAGTAATCAACAACTTTACTGTAAAGCATAAATTTTTGAGAAGAAACTTCAAACCCCTAGCTTCGACGTTAGACCAGGTAAAGCATAAACTTCGACGATGTACTCGAACCCCTAGCTTCAAAAGAATACTTGAACCCTAGCTTCAACAACGATAGTCACCAACTCGAAACAAAGAGAAAACCTCAAATCAACCAATATATTGAAGATATGATTCGGCATTTTTTTCCGAAAATGAACGAGGGTACCATCACTCTATTCAGCGTGACAAGATCAATCAGGATCCACGCTCTGAAACCATGTGAACATCCTGAATCGAGTGAGAATTTAGGTACAAGGAGATTAGAGTTCTGCGGAATATTTGAGAAGGAGAAGAAGAAGAGATACAATGTTTTATGGATAAAAAGATAATTAGGCATTGGGCCTTTTTCTATTTATATGTAGTCTGTTTATCTCACGACCAAAATTGATGGTCCGCGACGGGCACCCGATGCCTTACTCATCTGAGTACCAACATAACATATCTTTCTTATTGTACTTTCATTGCCAAATGGGCCGTCATGGCTAACCAGAATAAATATAGGGGAATACTAAATATAGGACGACCCAATCTGATATTAAAACTTATACATGTGATATATGGGCCTATAAGGCCAACATGATCATTTGTAAACTCAAAACATAGGTCGGCAAGTCCATACAAGCATCCGTATATAAGACATATGTCTACAAGCCTCTAAGAGTACATACTTAACATAAAGGTTAGGACAGGGTCCCGCCATACCAAACAATACGTGTCTAAATCATACTGACCAAACAAGCAACTTCGGAGCAAATGGAGCGCACTAACATCTTCCGCTGAGCTGATAGCCTACTTGGAGGACTCTCGACCTGTCTATCGGGACCTGCGGGCATGAAATACAATGTACCCAAGCAAAAGGGACGTCAGTACGAATAATGTACCGAGTATGTAAGGCACATAAATAAGTATATAAAAGACATAGAAGAACATGTAGTAAATAACTCAACTTATAAGTCTGGATAACTCTATAAATCATGAAAACATATAGTGTCATGCATATGCATATGAATGTCATGTCTTGCATAGGTTCATGTGTTCGTAACATTATCAAGCCTCTGAGGGCATCACATCATATCATCTCAGCCACTATGGGCAAAATCATCAACGTATACTAGCTGATCAGGTGTTGGTGCGTATATAACGCCATAACCTTTCCCATATATCATATACATATAATATACATATTTGTATATATATATATATATACGCATGCCATATGGTCATGGGTCATTGTGCATAAGTAAATGCATGAAATGCATATGAAATATGTTAATAAAATCTCTCGGTACGTCCTAAGACTAGTATGCCTATGATTAATATCATGAAATAAACTTTGCCAACTTATGCATTTTTGAGGCCCATGAACATATGATAGTATAATATGGCACATGGGGAATCAAGAACATAAACATCTCTAGTATTTCTATGAATATAGTCATTTATGGAAGTTGTGCATTTGCTCATTTCGTTTG